AATAAGTTGAACATGTACAATAAAAATGCAATGTTTACATTGAATGAGACTGCATTTGGACGTAATGAAATCCGTGGATTACCATTATTCATGAAAATGTGGAATAAGTTTTTAGCAAAAGAAAAAAAGGGAACAATTGTTACAATGGAAAGCGTGCTTAAACTACTGAAACACCAGGATTGGTCGTAATCTGTGTTGTGCGTGACGTTTTTAGACGTTGCACGTCTATACTTGAAAAACTAATAATAAACATATACATCGTGTATCTTGTTTCTCGAAATCGATCGTTTCCTTGAAAAAGCGTAGTTAAAGTTTTAACATAGGGAGAAATAAATTAAAATTGAACAACGAATACAGCAAATAAGAACTGTTGGTTGGGATGTCCGATTTTAGTTTGTGACGTCATGCGCAAAACAGTTCATGCCTCATTCCCTCCGTATATCTATCCAGCTGTCCGTGGTTTGGCAGTCCGGTGAACGATATTTTCTCAGGGTGATTACTACGTAGGTTTTATGTTGGTGGCCATTCCCACGAACGACAGGTGGAAATTCAAGGTGTTAAAATATCGATAGACGATCAAGTGCCAATCGGAAACCTGTTAAGTAAAACTGATTTTGAACAACCTATAACGGTATTATACGGGTAGGGTGGCCTTCGGACTGACAAAAGGTAAAGACGTACGCAGCAGAAACAACTGGCGTTTTCTCGTATATGTGACGAAGTTACACGAAGTAAACCGTCGTGTAGGACTTGGTTGTTTCTTTTATCAGAGAAGCAGCGTTAACGTGAGCTATTGACGGCATTGTAACGTTCTGGAATATTTATCCGTATCAACGATTTGGGAGCGACGAGCCCACTCGTGAGGGATGTCTACCCCTGCAAGAAGGAGACTAATGAGAGACTTTAAGAGGTATCTCAGATAATTCTCAGGATTACTATGTCATCGTTTTCTGTGTCATGCAGCGCCATTGTAAATCATATTTATATTTGTATTTTGCTTCCCCGTAACCTTTCTATATGCTTTGGATCATTGTAGATTTTTTTCAAGACTCCTCAGGTTACACGACGTTCGAACGTCATTGTGGCCCGCCTTAACAAGTTATTATTAGGAGTTTATAATCATTTATTACGTTTCATTTTCACTCTTCGCCCTGATTTCTCCAAGATCGATGATAACTTAGAAAATCGTGTTTATTTTATATTCGAATGTTTAGAAAATTACGCACGACTCATGGTCTATGGTTTTGTTCATATTGCCACATTCCCTATTGATTCTTATAAATATTCATTTAATTCGTGATAATTTCTTTTTGGAATTTTTATTGTTTATGAATTGATTATTCGGTAAATAAAATAATATCCTAAAGAATAAATGACATTTTGTAATTGCATTTAAACAGTTTTTATGTGATTCTTGTTATTTATTTTTGTCATGAGCAGTTCTTTCTTTTATTTACTTCTCAATGCAACAAGGAACAGATATATATGTAAATGCTTGAAATTTTTTATTGTATATATATAGTATGTTATTAAAGATTGTTTTATATAAAAGGCATTGGCATGACATTGAGACCTTTAAAAAATCTAAATTTGTATTCTTTATATTAAATAATTTCTTGAATAAAACTATTAAAAGTTCTAATAAAAATAACTTTTACTCTAATGTTCTACAATTTTTATTCTTTAGCATACAAAACAATTATTTTTGTATCTATACATGTAGTCTTATATATTATATATAACTTAATATCTTTATGAATAGACTACAAGAAGACCCACCCACTGGAGTATCGGGAGCACCTACAGACAATAATATTATGATATGGAATGCAGTTATCTTTGGGTAAGAATATTCATATATATAAGCATTTTTCAGAATAATTCAAATTTATGGTAACTTGCAATAACATATATCTTTATACTTTATTATATTTTCAGACCTCATGATACTCCATTTGAAGATGGTACTTTCAAACTTACAATAGAATTTACAGAAGAATATCCAAACAAGCCACCGACAGTGAGATTCATCAGTAAGATGTTCCACCCTAATGTGTATGCTGATGGAGGCATATGTTTGGACATATTACAGAATCGTTGGAGTCCTACTTATGATGTATCTGCTATTCTAACATCTATACAGGTATTGAAAGCATTTAATGGCACAAAACAAGTTTGAGACTAAAAATGCCTCAAATACATGTAGCTACCATTATTAATTTTATATGTATTCTATTTGTTCTCATCAATTGAAATGTTACCATAAAAACACATATTGCATGTTAAATTTCATATGATGCAATAACATAACAGTATGCATAAGGCAGTTGAAAAATAGGTATCTGTTTTGATAAGTAACCGAGAAATGTTAATTTAATCTTTTTTTAAAATATATTTTATTTTTAATTCCATAATATAAAATTAAGTTTCGATACAAAAACTGCAAATATGTTTTGCATGATAGTTACTAAATGTTTCAGATACTTCAAACAATCAGATGCTTACTGTATTATATTTATCATTAAAATAGATTGTTTTACCCTTTTTCTTTTATTTTATAGAAAATCTATCAATGCCTGCTAAAATTTCATGTATTTAGATCTGTATTTTTTTCTATCAATTTTCGTATAAAAACTCGAAAGATTCGTAAGTTTTTGTCTTAACAGCGGTTGCAATTCAGCAAAGTCTGATTCATTCAAGTTGAAAGTTATTTGCATTTAACGTTAGTGTAAAATTTATGCTTATAATTTGTTTAACATACCACAAGTGTACTTCTAATCACCAATACTAAGTAAGAGTATCATCTACTTATAATTATAGCCATGCATCATTAAAAAGAAACTTTCGTGTAATGAGTATGACTTATGTGGTTGCAGTCGCTGTTAAGTGACCCGAACCCGAATTCGCCTGCCAACTCAATGGCAGCACAACTGTACAAAGAGAATCGACGTGAATACGAGAAGCGAGTGAAGGCTTGTGTGGAGCAGAGTTTTACGGATTAGTCGCAGGCATTATCACAATGCTGTTGCAGCATCACCCAACCATCTACAGCTATCAAATACTGTGGAGAATGTGCAGCCTTATCAAGAAGCTAACGCTATAAATTAGCATGTTTCTTCCTAAAGCTCTATTGAACTATTACAATGTGCAACATTAGACCGAATTTTTACAATGTTGAATAATAAATTATTATAAAATTGTATATTTATTTATTTCGATATTTGATAACAAATCGATTATTTCAATATTTGATTGAAATTAGTGATATTAAAAAGAGTAGAAGACAATTTGGCGGTTTTTGTCTCTGTAGTACTAAGCAAAGTCTTTCACAAGGATAGAACTATATCTCAATTAAATTGCAGTACTTCATATAGTACATAAATTCACTTATACATATATACACACATGTAAGTGTGTATATATTTATATATATACACATACACTATACATAATAAATACATAACTTTACTTTATAGTTTTATGGTTTTCTTTAAATTTTTGTGCTGTTTATGTTTAGAATAAACTTATGTTATATAATAACAAAGTCTATAAAATATTTGTTACAGTCCCTTTTGGATGAACCAAATCCAAATTCTCCAGCAAATTCATTAGCTGCACAATTATATCAAGAAAATAAGCGGGAATATGAGAAGAGAGTAGCTACTGTTGTTGAACAATCTTGGTTGAATTTTCAAGAAAGTCACACAGAAGATGTCCGCTGACATTAAGTATGGTTCATTCAGTATTTTTCATGAAGTTTATTTGATGCACCTAATTTTAATTTTTTAGAAATTCATGACCTGATATTTTTTTTTTTTTTTTTTTGCTATCAAAATAAGACATTAAATCCTCCACTGTTCTACAGAATTCTTTTATGTATCCAAGTTAAAAGTGTCATCTAGTTTTATAAGATAGGAATAAAGGAAGATTTATTTAGTATTGATTGTGTTTCAAACATTTAAAAAATGTAGAGCACTGGAGTGATATGGAAAAGTACTGTGCATTATGTGATGTTTATCTATAAACTTAAATAAAATGTGTATCCCATTTTGCTCATAATTAGGGTCTAGGAGCCCACACAACAAAATTATAGAAATAAAAATATATAAGTTTATATATGTATAATATATATATATATATAATATATATAATATATAATATATATATATATATATATATTATATATAATTACCAGTTTTGTAAGATTAATTTACATTGTAACTAACAGTTATACATAAATATAAGATCATCGTAAAATAATTTCAGAACAAATAAATTAAATTACTAATATATCCTAAGAAAGATGAAAAATAACTTTTGTTTTAATTATTATTACGAATGTATAAATAATATAGTATAGCGTTAAAACCGGTAATCAATCTAAACGATAACTATTAATAATTACTTGTAATTTCCTAATAAAGTTGAAACATTATTCATAACAATATGTATTAGTCTCCTACCACCAATAGCAGAAGGGGAGAGGTAAAAAAGATCAAACATAATTAAAAATTATTAAATTTAATAAAAACATTAAAATTGTTTTTTTATAAACACGTCCAATAAAAAAATTTTTTCTATAGTTATATAAAGCATGTAAATTGTTTTTGCAAAACAACTTGCTTTGCTATATATTCGAGCTTCTACTCAGCTATGAAAAATTATAGCTTATTAAATATATTACATATTATGTATCAAAGAGAATTCATGCTTTAAAAACATCATATGTACATCAGGGAGAATTCATATGTACAAAGTAAATTATCGTCAGTAAAGAGAATGACATATAAAACGATATTGTACATATAATTCTTGTCTAGAGATTCTGTAATCTTCATTTATACATGTAAATTTTATAAATCATAGTAACCATAAGAATTTATGGTACTTATATGTATAAATATACACTTTGCAAATAATACAACAAAATTTTATAAGTGTAACTTAATACATAGTGAATTAATGGTAGTTAACAATAAAATTTTATGTATCATAATATGAATCGATTAAAAAAGATATTGATCTTAAGTTATTTTATTTATGACACAATTAATTTATATTACAAAAGTTACTTTCTGTCTTTTAATACTGCTATTGTAATTTGAACGTGAAATATATATTTTAGATATTTATCATTGATCTGTATGGTATTTATATACTATACATATATTGCTTAATGTGTGTAGAAGCTCACTAAGCTTTCTACTTTGAACAAGTATGAAGCAATTTTAAAACATACTTTACAGCACTCAAAATTTCTATTTTACTCTAATTATTTACTGTTGTTACAGTATTTACAATAGCAAATATTGTACAAATATAATTTATCTGCTGCTGTAAGTAAGTAAATTATTGATAGACCCATTTCATTGGTTGCCACAAGTCGCTCTGTTTAATAAGATTTTAAAAAGCACTTAATATTACAAGGTATATCTTAAAAGCTGTCTTTAATTTGAATTAAGTCTTCCAATGTATTTATATTGTTCACTAACCTTCTCCTGCTACGATTTCTCTTCTTTTTCTTTATTATACCTTTCTAATTCTTTTAAAAATTGTGCTTTGGGTTTCATAACATTTGGCCTGTCCCCTCTACATTTTGGACAGAACCACTTGCCTTTGGGCTTAGTACTTAATGAAACACATGAAAAATGGAACCATTCTATAGGGCATAAATCATTGTCACATAATATCATTTCTCCATATGATATTTGATCACACAGACAATACGTTGGTTCGTCTGGGTCAATTGCAAGATCATCTTCTAGTGGTGGTGGAGTATCTTCACGATGCTGATTTTGCTGATTACCTTGTCTAGATTTCCTTTTTTTCTTTTTGCCTGTATTAGTAGTAGTTGTCTTCTTTTGATTACCATTACTTGCATTTGACAAAGAATTAGAACGTGTTTCTGTCATCACAATCATGTCCATAGTATTGGAAGATTCAACCATTGTGTCTGTTCTTGTTCTCCTGGCTCTTTTTGGTTGTCTTTCTGTGTTGTTTGCATTAGTAGAAGAGTTAGAATTTATATTAGCATTTGTTTCACGAACTGATTCGTTATTTTCTTGCTCCTTTCCAAAATCTGTATACAATTTAAAATACAAGGAATATAAAAAATTATGCTTGGTAAATATATTCTTTCAGAAAATAAACAAAATCAATGGAAGGAGAATCATACCAAGATTACGGTAATCTAAGTCTAGCTGCCTAGATTTATTTTCAATGAGATCTTGAACTTGTTGAACTATTTGCAATTTCTCATCTCCTATTTCTTGTGCTGCAATTAATGCTTGTTGAACTCTTAAAAGGGCTCTTCTTTTAACTGCTAAATCTGTATCATTCTTTAATGCTTCTTGTTGTTGGTCTACCTCTCGCAAATATGCTAGGTTAAATCAGAATATAATTATTATATAAAAGTATAACATAAAATATATGTATGAAAATTAAATTACTTTACACTATCTTGAATAACGTAATATGGTAAAATACAAAATAATAGATTCATATTCAAATTCAATGTTTACTTTATACAGAAATGTAAATATTTTGTCATTCAGTTTTCTATTATTTCTATCATATTATCTGAAGTACATTCATATAGTATACTTTATCTAAATGTTTACGAATGTTTCAAGTTATAAAAATGAAATCTTTGTAGTGAAAACGTATCCGCGTGTACGCTACAGAAATTTATTAAAAGTTGTTATTTCTAATTACTTTGACAAGTGGCATCCAGCTCACGTAGCCGGGATACATGTCTCTGTAAATCATTTGGCAAGTTTTCCACACAGTCTAAATAATTCTCGATATACGTTGCAGAATATAATGCTTCGACAACAGCTTGATTTAACATCTTTGCTCTCTTACAAATTTCCCTCGGTAGTTAAAAGACATAAAAACAATCTATTTAATGACAAACTCTTAACTGTCACTGTATTAGATTTTCGAACTTGTCGCACCATTTATACAGATATCTATTATCACTTAATTTATAATTACACCAATCAAGATCGATCAAATTGTACAGAACATAAGCAACTGTTACAAGACTCTTTTTTTGATACTCCATCTGTATTTATGACAAGGATCAAACATGGCTGCCGGTTTCTAAGTGAGTTCCACAAGTTTATATTTCAAAATACGACACAAACCATCATACATAAATGCCAGCTATTTTACTCCAAAAAATTCCTATAAATATATTCCTCGATACACAACATTATGTATAATATATGTACTGTAAAATGCATATATAACATTTCAAGTAACAATTTACTATAAAAAATTGACAAGACTAGAATCTCAAAAATTCCAAGATTACAAGACGTTTTTCAATCAAAACAATTAAATGTTTTAATTGTTATATGCTATTTAGAAATATTCTTTTTTATGTATATTTCTAAACGTAAGTAATGGTTATAAAGTTTGGTGATAAATCGAGTTCAGTCATCGTTAAAGTTACTATTTGTATTATTTTATATTATATGGATAATTCTTAATTGTATTCATCATAAAAAAATATTTCTTAAAGTATTGTATTTTTGTATGCGTTAAGGAGGTATTTAATTATAGATTATTTTCTCATGGTAAAGAATTTGTAATGTAGACGTTCATTTGACTAGCTATTCTGACGTCAAAATTTGTAGTAAGACCTACCAATCCCGTATCACAATCCTATTTGATTTCGTTCGGTAGAAGAAAGAGTCGTGTTTGGGTTCTCGTGTACCGCAAAAACTGTCTGACACGGTTGATATTCGGGAAACATTTTCGTTTACTCGTTTGAAAGATATTTCAAAATCACGAGGATGACATCGACGGGAACTTTCCAAGGGTTTAGCGACGAGAAGAAGAAGTCCAGCAAGTAAGTGACATGCTTATATTTATGGTTTATTATCTGCAGAAATATCGGATGAGAGTCGTATTGTCCTTCTGCCAGTGATGTATCGTCTATTTATTTTAAACTGCAACAGAGAAAAGCAACGGTTTTCATAGTAAAAATTTATCTTTTACATTAGTAATTACTACCAAAGACATTGACAAAATGTTCGATCATTTTTAACAGTTTAAATTTTATTATTTAATAGATTTTTTTATTATCTATGTACTTTTAAAGATTACATTTAGAAGAAACAAGGATATTTATTTATTCGATGAAATTATAAAAATAATTGAATGTGGCGTCTTGTTGGTTACTGACTTTTTTGTTATGCACGGTGCGTCAGTTTGAACCGGTCATAACCGGACAATCCATGAACCTTTTTTCGTACTGGTGATGTTTTGATGAAATCGAAATTTACGAAAATTAAAAACATATCTTTTTGTTGTTCAATTGTTAATCATATTTCAAGAGAGTTTAGTAAGTTACTTGCTATTATCAGTGAAACTAATGCGATAAAATTACATATGAAATATGTATGTGTTATCTGAAGCCACATCCGTTGCGTTTAATATTACTTTAATTTGAACATTTGCTTTTTTTTTATTGCATTACTATTAAAAATATAGTTGTGATCCTCATTTCTTTTTAATGTTATGTAAAATATTACTTGAAAAATATCAAAGTGTTTAATCTTTTTATTATATGAATGTATGTAACTTTCTTAAAATAATGATATCATAATCTTCAATTGATTACTGTTGCGAGGATATGTCCAATTATTTATAGATACAATGCGATATACATATGTATGTGTTTTAACTGTTGCATCTGATAATTACGGAGTCGGTAATAGCTTAAATAGAATAGAGTAGTGGGTACTAAGATGTGGCAATAGATTGCGCTCGCTGCATCATTCATGATGCGAATTTCAAAAAGCTAAAATCCAATACTTCATAAAATTATTTTTTTAAATAAAAGATTATTTATACGAGTATTCATTTGTTGAAAATATCGCAAGGAAATTTTTCAGATGCATCGATTTGATCAATAATAACGATAAATATAATTGGTACTGCATATTGAAATTGATATGTGAATTTGAATGTGTAATCGTCGGTGTATTTCGAAATTAAATATGACAACGCTAAATTTTGATATAGGATTATGATACTTTTTTACTAAATAAATATTCGTACAATGAATATTATTATTTTGATTCCACTTGGTATATTTATGAATTGCTATAATTAAAAAAGCAGTATATCTTATATAATCTTCTTTTATTTTGAAAGGTCTCGGTGAGTAAGTTTTCCCTAACAAGTATCATGTTTCAAGTCCGGCATTTTCATGAAAAAAATCAGCGGTTTACCGCGGATAACGGCTAAATATTGCAAGGCATGTGTCGAATAAAGGGGTGCTTGCTTATCGGTAGAGCTAAAAAAGTGCATATAGAGTATAAAATGTACGGTTGAATGTTTTTCGAACGAAAGTGTGTTGGCGGCAACGCATTTTCGACAGAATGACCCGTCGTCATTTAGGCTTACCATAATTTATAATTACGTCGAGAGTTTAGTAAGTTTACCTCTGCATGATGCTTGAGTGAATGTTTGGAAAGACAATAGCCGATGATTCGAAATTATGAGATATCGATTATTGCTTGGAGCAGTGATTTTCAATCTTTAAGCTAAAAGAAATCTGTGCCTCTGATTAATTACTTGCATTATATTTAGGCATTGCTTGTTTTAAAAATTTGTACGGCACATTGGTTTCGCAAAAATCGCTGGTCTAGAGTTAGTTTAATAGTGGCAAGCGATCCAATGTCGCATTGTCAAAAAATAGATTGTTTAAAGGATGTGGCCACGGAATGGTGAAAGCGATGTCATTTTGGTAGGGGGACTGTGCACTTCTTCAGAATCTTGCGAGAGACAAATTATATAGAAAAATCTCTAACAAGCGGATATTTTATGTCTGTTACGATACATGGACTGGCTTTAATATGAACCCATAATAATTTCTACGATATAAGACATAAACAGATTAAAATTGCCGGATGCCTGTAATGATAATAACGGAAAACGACACTTTCGTAAGCAGAAGCTTAATATTTCTTTCTCATATATACAACCCCATATGAATGAATGTTTTCCTTTTTTAGAATTTATTATTTTCCAAATACAATTACTGTATGAGAAACGCTCGTGAATAGTGTCTTTCTTTTGTCGCAAATATTTTCTCGGAACGCATGCGAATAATACGCACACTTTTGAAATACGAGTCACGCTGTTTCAGGCTGACTCACCGGGCGTCGCGTCGTGTAGTTCTTAGCGTGCTGCATAGAGGCGTGTACATTTAGGCTCGGAGCTTCATAATTGCACGGATACGATATTGTATCCACCTTCTGTTCTGTCCTTTTCTGTTTGTTTCTGTCTTTCTCGTATCTTCGCAACGTCCATTTTTATGTCCCCTCGCTAATATGCAGACAGTATGGGACACGATAGGAAAAAAGGATACTCAGAATTGCACGATTACATGAGATTTTTATTTTTTCTTTTCGTTAATTTTATTTCGTTATTCTATATTCCATTGTCTTAATTTTAGGTGTATTTTAATTATGAGTAGAGTATCACAATTTTTGTTCTTCCATATTCTTTTATAATGCAATTGTAAAAGAATAATCCTGGTATCTAAAATGGTCCCAGATTAGAAACGATCGAATTGTCAATCATTTTGAAAACGTATGAATATTAACCAATCACCTTGAATGTCCAATAAAATATAAGTGGCATCGAATTCAGTGTTTCCATTTACAGTCAAGCGACGCAAGGTATTCTTGCGATGAAGAAAATCCGTAAGGAGCCCGATTCAAAGGATAAATATAACCGTTGTCGCTGGCTAGACCGAAGGAGATAGTCGAAGGGAGTTGTCTCTGTAGATCGTTGCGTCCGTGACTGTGCTTAAGGACATGCCCCTCGAGGCTGTTCGTCGCAGTCTTGCAAGGCGTCGAATAAACCGGCTTAAGGCCTCGTGCACACGTGCACGAGGATCATTTCTCCCTACGCAAGTTCGCGGCTGCGACGCCGTGTTGTCGATCTCTCTACCGTCAGTGGATTTCACGATTGTGCAGAACACGGCACGCTTCCTTTCCTGCTTCTCGACTTTTTGGAGGTGGCGCCTCCTCGTGTAGCCTGCGTTAGTTTCCCTCCGCTTTTCTGTCTGTCGATCTTTCTCCCTCGTGCTTGGTAGTGCGTGCACGCGACAAGGAAAGAAACGGAAGAGGAACCCAAGCCGTGTGCGCCGTGACCCAGCCTGATTGACCCACGTCGTAGACACGTTCGAACGTGCATAACCGGCACGAATTGTCGCGTCGTGACATCGAAACCGCGTGGTCGTGTGATATACCACTTGGAATCTGTAAACCAAGCTTGTTTCATCCGTGATATAGAAAAACAAAATGTGGGCTGGCCAAGACGACACGCAGCGTTTCAAAACCAGGTTCGTGCCACAAACTATCTACTTTTCCATTTTGTGAATTTCCTTCTTGTGTTTTTTCATCGATCGAACTCTAATGTGTAGTACTCTCCTTTACTTTATACGTTTTGACAGCGTATAACCTCGAGAATGCCTTTCTCCTTGGTTGCTGCTCGATCGAGCGACAAGTTCGACGACCTTCTGTATAACGATCGAAATTGCAGTTCCGCAAAATGCGATAAAGTCGTTTAGATTATAATGAATTGATGTGTTAGAGTTGGAGCGCGAATTGAACGGCTGGCGCGTTGCGTGTCCCCGCCTGTTGCTTTTCTTGCATGCGCGCTCTCTCTTTCTCTTTCTCTCACTCTGTTTTACCGATCGAATGCATCTTTGTTGAATTTCATCTACGTTCATTTTCACAGTCGTGCATCTTTGTGGTGGACCAACGGTTCGACAAAACTATTATTCGGCACATCTGCCCGATGTTTTGTGTTCCGGGGTACGGATACCTGCTTCCGTGATTTCGATCGACATATGTTTCGTACGTTTCGAATAGAACAAACGGCTACCGTTTACCTTTTCGTGTCATGCTAACACGCTGTTATGGCGGTTTAATTGCATTGCAATCGAAGTTTAATCCATTTATACGCGTTGCGA